AGACCATATATTGTCACAATTGTGCATGCATTGTCTTTATGTTTTGTATTCAGCTGAGCTACAGAGATAGCTGGATGCCTTTGTCCATAATAGGGATTTCCTGCACGTCATAAGTTATTATATCTTTTCTCTTTGAATTTAAATCTATGGCCCCTGAAAACATCTACATCAACACACTTGCCCGAAAAATGTGCGGGGGACGAATTTACATTTTATTAAAAGTGGGGGCATCTATCTATCTATCTATCTATCTATCTATCTGTATGCTTTTTGTTTCTGACTGATTTAAACTGCAGCTGTTAATTAACCAATTATAGAAAGACAATCAGATTTGATCTCTTCAGGCGACTTCAGTGAGGATGGAGTGTGGTGCGGTGCTCACACAGCCCTGTGGGTAGCATGTAATTACACATGCACCCTTTAATTAAATAATTAGCAATGTAGCTGGGAGAAATCCTACATCTCATCCCATTTGTTTCATGTCAATCCCTGCGCTTTAAACCAGTTTGCCAGACTACAGATTTATTTGTAGTTCAGCTTTGTAGTTGAGAACCCATCAGTGTTTGCATTACAGTAGCTTGTTTGCACATACATCATATGTTCAAACGAACTACATCAGTCCTCAAGGCCAAAGTTTCCCTGCTGTACTCATGTAGATGTGTGCTTCAGAAATTAATTAGTGCAGTTTGGTGATGTATTTAGTACTTTAGGAGTGTTAGAGTGATGTGTGTGTGATGATATATAGTGGGGGCAGGGTGATGTGTGTGTGTGTGTGTGTGTAATGGGGGTGCTGGTTGTGTCCCATTTCGGCACATTAAAGGCAAGGCGCTCACGGCAGCTGGATAATGAGAGTACACATGCAGCCTGATCTCCCTCGGGTCCTGTCTGTTTCTGTGATAATCAAATAGACTGCTGCCTTCTGCGTGCTTTTGTGCATCAGGCCTTTGAGGGTGAGACACCAAAGCAGGTGATCCGTCTCGCCGTCTCAAGTCCGTTAATCGTGAAGCGGAATCAAAGATCTTCAACGGAACACGAGACAAGGTTAAGTCATAGACTGAATAGCCAATATTAGCTCTGAAATCATCACGACTGGATCATGTTTTCAGTGAGGTGTATGCTTGTGATCTTTGTTCACATCTGGCAGACCTGCTTCACTCTCGCTGTCCTCCTCCTCTGTTTTACAATTTTATACTTCTAATTTTTCTCATTAAAACCTCAGCCGCTAAACCACGTTGCCATGGTTTCATATAAGCCATTCTAAGGACAATTATAAAGTTCATTTAAGTCTTATTTTGGTCTTGAATAATGGACATGCTTCTGTGCTGATTTCAAAGGAAATGGCGTGTTGCAGGAATGTAGAGGAAAAACACAAGAATTTGACTCAAATATCTGAAAATTTTAAAGGGGTCATATGACTTTGCTGAAAATAACATTATTTGGTGTATTTGGTGTAATGCAATGTGTTTATGCGGTTCAAGGTTCAAAAAACATTATTTTCCACATACTGTACATTATTGTTTCTCCTCTATGCTCCGCCTTTCTGAAACGCATCGATTTTTACAAAGCTCATCGGTCTGAAAAGCGAGGTGTATGCTGATTGGCCAGCTATCCAGTGCATTGTGATTGGCCGAATACCTCAAGCGTGTGACAGAAATGTTACGCCCCTTACCATACTGTGATGCCGTGTCCTGGCGTGACGAGACAAAAACATTAAAACCCATTATAAACGAGGCATTTGTTGCATCCAGTGGGGACATAATTAGTGATTATAATGACTTATACTGTCTTTTTACGCGTTGCATCGCGCCGCGTAAACATAAAACCATGTCTGCATTTGTGATCGGAGAAATGACAAACAACAAGCGCTACTTTACACTGCTCAAAACTCACGTTTGAATCATCAGTGGCAAATCCTTTAAATATGAAAACGTACTTACAGGCTGTGAGTCTGAAGCGCCAGACTGTTCTTGCAAAGTTGGAATTGACCCACTTTATAGAAACAGACACCGGCATTGTAGGCTACTCTCCCAGGTTCAGGAAACAGTCCTCCGTAAAATGTGCTGCACACATCTGAATATTTGGGTTGAACTGTTCCGGAACAGTGTTGTAAATCAACTTAACCACTGATAGTTGATAGTTCTAGTTGTGTCCTCTTTTGGAAGGACAAACAAAGTAGTTTCGC